CCATGGGGAATTTCCTCGAGGTTGCCAGTATGCTCAAGACACAGCACAAACTGAGAAGCTCGTCTTCTCTAACTTGCCTTGTCAGAACAGATCCAGGGGTCACTTGATGAAATTCAATACAGATAAATGTAGAACAAGAAAAATAGATGTTCTTTTGAAGGCAGCTCATTACTGCAGGGAAAATGATTCATGTGCCAGGGCCATTCTAATCTCGTGTTACTGAACTGCTGCTGACGGGGAGAGCGAGGGCTTCCTCTGATGGACCGCCACACAGGGATGGTCAAATGCCTCCGTCTCTCCTAAAGTATCTCCAGATTGTCAGCACTGTTTCCTCTCAAAGGGCGAAGCTGGGGTTTGATGGCTCAGTGTTCAGATCTGATACTGCAACACCACTATTTGCAAAGAAGTACACTGGTGAGGGAAGGGGAGAGGTTCAGAGGAGGAAGGTCCATGAGAAGGAGGTGTGACTGCTTTGTTCTGCAAGAGGTCTTAGGAAAATGGCACAGAGCTGAGTGACTGTCTTAGGGCAAACAGGCAGGGTGATGGTGTAAACTACAGAGCTCGCGAGTGGTTTGCAAGGATGGCAGGCTGCTCTCGTGGACGACAGATTATCACATGTTGGTGGCCTGGCTTCCAGGGGAGCAGATGGCATGAGTGTGCTTCTTGCCATTGGGGAAAGGGGTCAAATGCAACTCTTGTTTGAGCCTTCCAGAGGGAAAAGTTGCATTTCCCCTGAGAGTTTGTGCAAGGCCCTCCTCTGGAGCGGGCCTGGCCACCAGCTGGCTGGGCTCCATCTCAGCTCAGGTGGTAGTATCTCTCAGAGAGTGCCGCTGGCCTGAGAAGGCATGTGTCAACAGTAAGATCTGTCGGCATCTGTTATTCATGTTTTTTCCCACTGTAAATCTAGCCATTTAGCTCAGATTGACAGGGTAAAAATGAGTCCCAGGCAAGGCATCTGCCCTTCAGAAATCAGCTGTAGTATTCATAGCGGAAGAAGGCTGCTTGCCCTAAATCTCAGGTAAGCTGGAACATTTTGCTCCATTGTCCATGTGGCCAACTACCTAGAGCCATCTTTTTTCTTACTTCTTGGATGAAGGCCAAATGGCATTGAAAGCTTTCACTGTCTCCAGACACATACTATAGTTAACACAACTTGAATGAAGACATCAAACATCCAGTTGTCCCTCCTGTCCTGCCCCAGGAGGCTCTACAGTGCGTTTCCAGTTGCTTGCAGGTGGGTGAGCTCCACGTGTCCTACCGATTCTGCCAGGCACAGAGATGCTCCCGAGCCATGGCTACACTCATGGCCAGGATCCAAACCCCCTATCCTACGCCTGGTGCCCACCGTGGGAAACCACATGCTTTTGGGGAGGCGAGAAGACCTCACCAAAAGAAATGGCCCATTTTCCCCGATGCTGGGGAGCTGCAGTGAGTAACGGCAGGACCAGGCACTGAGGCATTGCGAAACCCAGGCAGGGAGCGCAGCCCTGGAGGAGCTGCACCCTGGAGAATGGCCGGAGGTAGGGGGCAGCCCTGTCTGGCACAGAGGGGCAGGAGAGGGCTGTCGGTCAGGGAAGCAGAGGGACGTGGCTAGGAGGACGTAGCGGAGAGGCAGGCGTCAGTCGGGGCTGAGTGCCTTGGCTGCAGCATGGGGGGAACGGGCATGGGATGGCAGCTGTGGGCAGACGGATGGCTGCAGGTCGCCAGCGGCGCTGCGTGGGTAGGAAGTCATCCTCTCCTTGCCGAACATCGCCCGTCCTTTTGTCAGCGTGTGAGGCGTGCAATTAATTAGTGCTCTTCACCCCTTAAATTAAAAGGAGCTGCCGAGGATGTCAGTGCAAGCAGCTTGGCGGCACCCGCCTGCGCGGAGCCTGGCTCCCGCGGGCTGAGCAGTTCGCCTCCAAAGCACAAGAAAGCAAAGTTTGCTGGTGGCTCGCTCCAAGCCCCGTCTCAGCTCTCTCATCGGCTGACATCCCCCTTGTCAGGTCGCCGTGTTTAAGTAATGTAACAAACGCATATGCAGAATCAATCCGTCCGGAGGCGAGTTTGGAGACGGCGTATGGAGACGGTGCCGCCACCCGGCTCGTCGCAGGGGTGACATCGGAACGCTTCCCTCCGTCTCCGCTTCCCCACCTTCCAGGGCGATTAATATTTTAATACGTTTAATGGCTCATTCAGGCTCGTCAGCCCCTATCCGTGTTTTGTCAGCGATGATCCGTTACACCAGGCATGCTTTCGGAGAGCAAGGTTCCCGTCCCCCCTGCTCCCTCCCCTTGCCGCCTTCCCCCCTTTTCCCCCTCTGCTCGCTGCCAGCAGAAATCACCCGCTGTTCGAGAGGCGCAGGAGCTTCGTTCGTTTTGCATTCCTAGTGTTTAACTAAAAGCGAGATGGGCTCCCCCAGCCCCAGCCTGTGCTCCCCATGCGTCGCTCTGAGCGAGAGCACGACGTGATGTAGGGACGAGCCTGGCTCTGCATGAGCAGACAGCATCCTGATTTACCCCAGCCCGAGGAGCCAGCCCCGGCATCTCTTTTACACCACCACCACACATTGCTGTAGCTTGTCACGCTCTCCATCCGCTTACATTAGAGCTTTGGGATGGTTTTGTTGTTTGTTGGCCCAGTGGGAAAGCTAGGAGGGACACAAGGAGCACGAATCTCTTGGCAGTCAACCTCAGATGAGAGAAAGAGGCCCTCAATAATTTTCGCTCCCCCAGGAGGAGGAGCAGACAGGGTTGGACTTTCTGGGGTGGTGGTGGTGGAGTTGTCACATTTTTCTAAATAACACTCTCTACCTTAATAAACAGCACTTTTGGTAAGTAAATAATATGTCCTTCCTCTTCTCCCTTCTCTCCAGCAGAAATATGTGCCCTGATCTAATATATTCTGTCTTTCTCACTCCCTCACTCTGGAGGAGCTGCAAATTCTAGTGGGAACAGAGTGCTAATAGAAAAGGACTCTAAAGATATTTGAAACATGACCAAGAAAGGACAAAGGGAGATTCAGCTCCAAAAATGCTGGAAAATCCAGGAGATGGGCCAAGAAAAGGGGAAGAGCTGCAGCATGATCACCAAGAGGGAAAAGTTAATTGGGAAGCATTAATTGGGGTGAAAGCCTGTAGCACAGACAGGAATTCACAGCTCAAGGTGGTACCACCGCAGGGCCTGGAGATGTGCGGGCGGTGGTCGAAGGCTCTGCTCAGGCGTTAGGCGTAACTCAGTGTCTAACGCTGCGCCTAACGCAGCCCTCCGCAGCCCTCCACGCAGGGGATGCGCCACCTTGCCGCTGCTGCTATTTTGCTTGTTTGCAGTTCCAGCTTCTGGAATCCTGGGGTTGCCTGATAATCTTAAATTTAGAACTGTACGGGGCTTTATTGCTTTGGGTTTGGTCTCTTCGTAGTTTCTAGCCCCCAAGCTTGCAGAGAGAAGCTCCAGTATGCCCTAAAGGCTCAGAAAGCAGAAAACGAATTAAAAATCCTCCGAATGATTGATTTATTTTTAAAATCTCATCATTTTTATGCCAATCTCATTATATATTTTTTTTAATGCCTGACTCATGGTTTTTTGAACGTTTGGTGTTGGCAGTGCTGTGCATGTCTGTGTGCACGCGCAGGGGCCCTCCTCTGCTAGCTAATGCGGTGCTAGTTCTAGACATCAGCGCTGTGGTCTTCAAGGGCTGTTGAGTATTCCTGCACTGTTGTTTTATTGCCAAGCGCACAGTTTTAAAATTATAAACAAAGAAAAAAAATAGAGAAGAGCAACGAGCCTCGAGTCATTGTGCAGCTTTTTAGGTACGGCTGTGACAATGGGGGAAATGCTGGAGGGAGAGGAACAAACGGCCATGTAGCTCATGGCATTGTCTAAGTGGGTATTTTAAGGTCAGAGGGGTCAGTGTTTATTTCCAGTTTCATGTGTATAAAGATCTAATAAATAGACTGTGGAAGTCAAGCCTATCTCTGTCACTGACTTGCTCTGTGTCCTTGGGTAAATCACTTGTTTCCCTGTGCATCCCTCTCCTGACACTAAGAGGATGACCAGATCTGTTGCCCAGGGTGAGTTGCAGGAATCAGTTAATATATAAAATGTACTCTGAAGATGAAAAATACCTTAGGGATGCTGACAGCTCTCAACAAGCATCTGTGTCCCCTTTGCAGAAATCCAGCCGAAAGCAAGCACCTGAATACTTTGTCACAGACAAAATCTGCTGTGTGTGCAGCTCGGAGAGGCTGGGGTGGGAGCTTCTCAAGTCTTTAAATGTCCGTTGATTTCATAGGCATTTGTGCTTCTCATTTGCTTAAGGAAAAGGTTTTAAAATGCAGCTGTGCACTAGGGTTTACAAAATTGTCTCAGGCTGCAGAAGTGCAGTATTGCACAGTTGTGCTGCAATGGGGCATGGCCTTAGCAGAAGGGAGAGCTGGGCTCAAATCTTTACTCTCGTCCTCCTGGTCCAGGGTTCCCCATCACCTTGAATCAAGCACAGATTTAAGCTTCCAGTTTCCACATCCCAGCAAATGAAGCCAAGTTTCTTGTGGCTTTACATCCTGAGCAGCATCCCCAGGCTTTGGACAAGGTGTGTGTGCTCGCAGAGGCTTTACTCATCTATAAAGCATTCTTAAGGAGAGAAACCATTCATAATTCACCTCTTTGGATTCTCTGATATCTAGTATAGCATTGAATTCCTACAGAAGTCCAGGCCACTAATAGGTCCTCTTTTAGTTGCCTATCTGAAAATGGTAGAAAGTTAGTATCCTTGAAGCCTCAGGCTTGGCTGGTTTTCATCAAAGATGTCAGAGTTATGCAACAAATTAGAAATACATAGCACGATCACAAAGCCTTTGTGTGCTTGAGAAACTCCCTTTGACTAAGTTTTTTGCTAATCAAAAAGCCTTGATGTTGCCAGAACAGCTCCCTTTGTGGATAAATTATGGCACTGCACATGCTACCTCTACCCTGCTGCCTCCCTTTCCCTCCTTCCTAGCTCTAACGGTGCCTTTTCTCTCCAAGGGAAGAAGCAATGCTGTCCACCTACTTTGAAACCATCAATGACTTGCTCTCCTCTTTTGGGCCAGTCCGAGACTGCTCCCGCAACAACGGTGGCTGTACCCGCAATTTCAAGTGCGTTTCGGATCGCAAGGTGGACTCTACGGGCTGTGTGGTAGGTACCCTCGACGTTGGCCCTCGGAGGTGAGGGTGTGTTTTGGGGCAAGGCAGAGGGTGATGCTGCCTGCTCGCTCTCCTCCGATGTGTCTGAGGGGATGCGTTTGCTGCCAGTGGACTTGCCTCTTCTCTGTGGTCTTCACAATGAATCACATATGGGAAGTTTGCCTTAAGAAGCTCAAAAAAAAGGACAGTAACTGGGCAAGCATTTGTTCAGCCGCATTCACTTGGGCTTAGACGTGTAAAAGACAAACGGATGGGGCTGCTAATAGCCATTTTCCTACTTGTCAGAGAAACACGGGCTGAAAACAGTCTCTCTTCTGCTGCTAACTTGTGCTTCCCAGCTCCAGTGCAGGAAAGGTGAAGTGTCTCCCCATCCTCTTCTCTGCTGTGCCCCTCTGAAACCCACTTCCAATTTGTTTTTGAACATGCTCATGTCTTGCCGATCAACCGCCTCATTCCCAGGTTTTGCAGTCCCTCTTCAGAAGACCTCTTAGACCATAGACCACTGGTCTTGGGAAGAGGCTTGGGATTGTTGCCAGCTGTGGGAGGGTTTTGCTGCTCTCCCAAGGGGGCTGAAGGAGCGCTCAGCAGTCCTATCCGCTCTCACCTGTCTCTCTCCGACGGCAAAGTTAACGCTTCTCTGCCCAAGGAGTTTGTGCTGCTGTACGGTGAGTCCTGTGTGAAATGCAGAGCGGTGGAGACGAGGAGGCAGATCCCTGTGAAACAGCCAGTTAATTTTAGAGCATCGCTTTTCTTCTTTCTATTAGAAGAATCTGGGAATAAGACACCTCAGCATGGCAATGTTTGTTCACAGGGGCAGCTTGTTCACGGGGGCAGCGTCAGTCAAAGCGTCTCCTTTAGGCAGGCGTGCGGCTGTTCGCTGGCGAAGAGGGTCCAGAACTCAACACCTGCTCCACCTGTCTGCAAGTGTGTGGCTTGCACAGTTGCAGTGCTACCTCTTGCGCAGGCACACACACACACACGGAGTCACGGCCACACTCCTCACCTGCACACCAAGGTTTCCTTCTTTTGCCCGCAGCCAGCCGCTAGAAGGCATCTGGGCCTCTGCGCCGCGCGTGTTGTGTTGCCAACACCCCTCCTGTGACCATGCTGATTTGCGCTTTGCATGCAAACCCATGCATTCCTGAGCCCCCCAAAACCTGTTCCCCTTCTTCGCCAAAGCTTCATTTGTCACCGCAGGCGTAGCCCCTGTCAGCCCTTTTCTCTTTTTATCTCTGAAGAGGCAGGAGTTAAGCGTATCTTTATTTATTGAAGATGTTTATACACAGCAGCCTGCAAAGGTCAGACTGGAGTGGCGCCGTCTCCAGGGTGGCTTTTTCATTATCCCCTTCTCCGATTGCTTGTTAAGGCCATTTAGCACGACAGCCTGATGTGTCATAGGCAACGCGTCACAGCAGTCCTGCAGCTCGCTTCATCTCGTCCTTTCTATTTCTCTCTTTTGTGCTTTCTTTTTCCATTTAGTTTTTTTTTTTTTTTTT